AGAGAGTGGAAGTGTGCCTCGGCCCGCAACAGAAGCTGCAGCTTCAAACGAGGCTACGCAGACTTCCACAGCTTTATTGCCTCGTCTTGGAGCACCGTTGCCATCTCTACCGGTACCTTCGGCCTTGCCGATACGTTTGCCCGTCCCATCTGCTCCCGATGCCTTGTCACCACGGCCCAGGGCAAACGTTCCCTCGGCAGCGCTGCGGCTTACGCGTGCCCGCGCTCTGGCGGAACGAATAGCTTCCCAAGCCTCATCCATGGAGAGCTCCTCTGACGGTGACGGCCCTCTTGATATAGACCCTGCCGCAGAGGCCGAGCCCACGCAGCACCCTTGCTCTTTGCTGGGCAAGCAAAGGTCTGGACTTTCTGGCGCACACTCTACGCGCCCTTCTGCCAAACGTGTGGCATCTGATACATTGCCCCCGGCTGCTTTATCATCGCAAGGATGTGAAGCGGCGCCGATGCCACGCCTGAGATCAAACAAGCGAGCCAAGACGACGCGCTCGCGCCTGATCCACAAGGCGGCGGCTGACAAGTTTCTGGATGCGCTGAGGTTGATGCATGCCTATTGCATGCCATGTACCATTCGCCAGTCTCAAGCCGTCTGGAAACCTCAACATATCTGTCCCGAATCAGACGACACATGCACCCGGTGCCATCTCGCGGGGCACAGTGCCGATGAGTGCAACATCGATTTTGAATCTGCCACACGAGAATGTTGCGCCAGATGTGGCATGCCATCTAGGATTGGCGGCCACCCCTTGAAGCATTTGCCGAGCTGTGCAATCGATAAAGGCCTCGGACGAGTCTTGAGCTCCATCATCCTCCTTGCCGACTGTCATCCGCGGCTGCGCCAACTGGCCAAGCGGATGGGATACGATCTTCGGCCCGGCACGCTGCAGACGCGACATTTTCGCGAAAGATTTATTGCATGGCTGTACTCGGAAGACCATCATCTGCCGGCAGGCCATTGGCACCTTGTGGAGTTTGTGATTTAAAGCGTCGAGATTTTGATCGGGGCAGCCGCGAGGGCTGTGATATGATAACATGGGCGACAGACTATTTGTTTTAATGGTTGGATAGTATGATAGTGGGAGTATGAGGACCGAGACCACCATGCGTGTTACAGACCAAGACAATTATGCAAGTGTGTTTCAATAGCCACTGGGCTTTCTCTGTCATGCGGAATGAGCTGCGTCTTGCCAGGACGGAGCGCAAATTGACCTCGCCTGCCTTGCCAAGTACTGTTTGAACGCCTGACACCTGGCATCTTGATGCTCTTGCGCCACATGCAAAAGAGTGCACGGATCCTTACAGGCGTTGACACGATTGACAGGAATACTGAATGATGCGCCAGCAGGCCTGAATCAGTCGGGAGAAAGTGGACCTTGTAATTGCATCCAATATAAAGGATAATGAACCGTTTTGGTCTTGAGACTAAAGTCATAAAGCTAAAATCATGACACATAATGTAGAACAAATCAGAGAAATTGAAGATTTGACTTTCTGTAGCAAACCTTGTGGAAATCGAAGAACTGAGCTGTATGGAAACGTGACGGCGTTCAGAAAAGACTCGAGATATTGTTGGCTTTTTGTGTGTTTATGTGTGTGGTCACATTTTTTTTTTTTTGATCAGTCGCCAAGTCGAGGCATTGCTGTCGCTGGCGGCGTGGTTCAGCGTGGGGCAACCATCAGTATCGGTGCGTGCAACAGTACCCGAGTCATCGAGGATCCTGGTCTCGCACGCTTTCTGCTTGGCCAGGTCGGTAAACACCCACAATGACGGCGGCTGGCATTCAAAAACCA